GTTAAACTATGTGAGTCCCATTGTTTAGGTACAGCAAAGATGAGGAGGGATACAAAAGGAGACAATCTTCATAACCTAATGACAAGAACTGCTCCCATTTCTGTAACACTTTTCAATTCACAAAGTGTTTGCATATCAGCTGTCTCTATAGTTGTAGAGTTTAGGTTTCCAATCAATGAATTGATCACATGCTTTATTACATGTACGGTTGTTACTATGCTGCATGGTAATTAGGCATAAGTGGTAGTAGCTGGTTTATAAATGACTGCAATTGGAATTAATTTTAGGGAGCCAAATTTTTTTCTTTTGGTTCACAAATATGGACAATTTTTCTTCATATTGGTTTTACAGTCTCATAGATAAAAGACAGGTCTGCATCGTTCCTCAGATCCATTCCTTTTTTCTGCTGTCTTCCAGAGCTGGGGTTTCTCTCTTCTCTACACTCAATTCTTATCCTTCCTTTGCCTATGGACGTCATAAGCAGAATGTCCTGTTGGCCTCTGAATCTGGCTTTCCTCATTGTTTCAATGGCACCAACACTACCAGAATGTCTGGAAGCACAAGGCCATAGACGATCCGCCCCAGGAGCAAGCATAACCACTTTGACACAAAGCAAGGAAGGGGAGACCAGCCTAGGGAAGGGGAGGGAGGAAATGCATTTCCAGTGCTTTGTCTCTGGGAGTTTTGAAACCAGAAGTAGGCTGGAAAGCTTACGAAAAAGATAAAGGATTCTTTTTAGGATCCTGGCAGTCGAAGGAGCCAGTTCTTTGCTAAGGCAGGAACTGGACAGGATGAGTCAATGTTCCATCTGGGACTCTACACTGTGGCAAAAGGAACTCATGCTGACAGGTACTCCCCTTCACTTCTGAAGGTTTGAAGACTAAGCGTCTAACAGCTGCATTGAAACTAGCTCCCAATAGGACCAGGACCAGAGTTGTGTGTGTGTGTGTATGTGTGTGTGTGTGTGTGTGTGTGTGTGTGTGTGTGTGTGTGTGTGTGTGTGTAAGGATTCAAGTATGTGCTGCTTGTTAGGAATACTGACTGCTTAAACAGGAACATGCTTTCAGCGATGCACTGTTCATATTTCATTTCAAGGGAGGATGTGTTGCTGCTGCTACTGGGAGTGCTCTCTGCTGTCAGCCCCTTTAGAGGTTACCTTCACCTTTTTCAGGGTTACGGCCTTCCTAAGGAGGCTCATTTTGGCCCAAGGCAGGTCACCTCTGACAAAACATTTTAGTTCATGACTCCTCGTGGGGCTGGCTGAGGCTGTCAGGCCTGCCTTGCAGCTTGACTTCTCCTTCTACCCAGTTCTGCCCCCTTGCCCTCCCCTCCATAGGTGTTGATCTCAGGAGCCCTCACTAATAAACATTCAGCACGTTAAACTTCATCTCTGGGTCTGCTTTCCAGCGAATCCAATCTGCAACAGACTGTTCTCCATAACTTAAATATTTGTTAATATCTCTATTTTACAGTTATCTCCTCTGCCATTTTCTTTGACCTCACTGCTTTATACCTGTTTTATTCATTTACTCTCATTTCATGAAGTTTTAAGAGGAAATTGAGATGAATGCGTGTGTCTTCCCAGGCATTCAGTTACTGTCATTTTATGGAGTTTTAAGAGGGAATCAAGATGCATGTGTGTGTCTGAACTGGCATTGCATTGGTCACAGTTAAATTGCAGATAATATAATTTATTCTAGCTATTCAAAACAGAAAGGGTATTTTCAGGGTATTCAGTAATGAGGAAGACTATTGCAATACTAGTCTATGGATTCTTCATTCTTCCTTTACAACGTGACTCTGCCACTCCTTCCCTGAAGGGGTTGAGTCTATTTCCCTAGAGCTTGAATGTGGGCTGGCCTTTTAACTTGCTTTGGCTAACAGAATGTGCTAGAGGTGATGGTATGCTGTTTCTAAGCCAAGTTCTCAGGCCTCGCATACTTTGGAATCCTGTGTACTTTGGATCCCTTTTGGAATCTTTCCTTTGCCATGAGAACAATCCAGGCTAGCCTGCTAGAAAATGAGAGGCTATGTGGAATGATGATGAGTTGTCCTAGCTGAAACCATCTGAGACTAGCCAGCTTCTAGCTAACCCATCAGCTGGCCACAAATTTACGAGTAGGCTTAGTTGGATTAGCCAAACACAACCTACATCAACAGAACGGGTCAACTGACCCAGACATTCAAAAGCAATAACAAATGGTTGTTATTTTAAGGTGCTACATTTGGGAGTGTTTGTTATACAGCATTATTGTGGCAACAGACAATTGATACAAGTGGCTTAAAGAATCATTAGGCGAGCTGAAGAAGTAGACTCCAGGGCCACATCACAGAGGAGCCTACAGTCAGGAAGTCATGGAACCAAAAAGCTGCCTGCTAAGTTGAGAAGCCTTTGCTACAAGCTCTGACTTCACGTCTGCTATGATCAGGAAGCTGCTGGTAGAGCTGCCAACTTCAGAACCATGCTGCTGTTGCTGCAACTGTCATGATTTACACCACTGTAATAGATGCCTGTGTTCTGCTTTTTTCCCATCTAACTCAGTTTATGCAAGTGCTTCTGATCAGCAGAATGTAAATTATACCCGCACTTCAGCTGCAAAGGGGTCTAAGGTCAAAGGGATTTTTAGTTTTCCAGCTTCTGCAGTAGGAGAAGGAGGTTGGAATGATTTTGGAATGAGTCAGTCTCAGCATCACCACAGCATGATTAACTAAAATACATATGATTCCTGAAACTTATTCCATAGATAGTACTCAATGATACTAAAACAATATACATATATGCAGTATTTTACATTTGGGCATATCATTACATTGTCAACCATCATTCATTCAATTAATAGAAGTTCAGAGGCTACAGGATGAACTGAACAACATGGTACTAAGATTTTATGAACTAATTGCTCCAGCAAAATACATGTAAAAATCTTTTAAGGGAATCAACAATAAGCCACAAAGGAGAGGAAACTGACTTTCTATTCTGAAAAATTTTTGATTCCTTATTGATACTTCAAATACCATAATTAGTAGAAAGACGGGCAATTTCAGAAAGAATAATAGTAGCCATCTGGGCTTAAGCTGCAGTTATTAAGGTACATATACATGAACTCAGTGATAAAACAAATATTTAAAAATTTATTTTGGCATAAAGGTAGAGATTTACAAGATTCTTCAAAAGGCCGATCTGACATCAAGACACAGAATCTGATTTTATGAGATGAGTGAATTAATGCTTTCAAATCAGCATTTAGCAATTCTAGAAATTATCTGTGTCCCTGTGAGGTCTTTCCAAAGAGATGGTGAGTTAGGACATAAATAATCAGTGAAGAAAAGGAAAGGCAATTGTTAGAAAACAGAACCATACAGTGAAGGTATTAAAATGAAAGAAATTTTGTGCCCCAAGTTTATTCCCTGGGCCTTGTTCAGCGGCAGCACAACATTATTACGATATGTGAGACTTGCCAGTGGTTTATGCCTTACTGAGAACTACTTTACTCAGCGTGGCCTTGTATGGTGAGGAATCCTCTAGGCTCACCAAAAGAAAAAAAGTCCTGTTGTCAAGAGAACCTGGAGTCCCTCCAAAAGGTGCCCCACTGATTCAAAAGCCAGACGCTCCCTTGTCAACAAAGGCATCTCACGGCTAAAGTCTGCCGGGCAAATTGCACTTGGCTCATTGGTAAGTCTTAATCATAGACCCTATTTATTTGATTCTCACTGACATTAATGTGAAGTATCAGCAATTTTGCTTCTCAGACAGAAACCATGGATTTAATTTTGTCATTTTTCTTAGTTGTGCAATCAGAAATTCATTCATAGCAGGAAAAATCAGTTAATACCTATGGAAAAATGCAAAAGAAAGCCTTTGTCAGTCTGATTGCTTTTTGGCAAAGACTGAGCTCAAGATTTACCAATGAAAGCCCAATTAAGTGTGACCTGAGAGAATGCTACAGAGCTAAAGAGCATCACTTAGCCCCAAAACTGGAATTTCAGTTACCTTGTAAGGTATTTCAGAGAAAATTACATATATGTAAATACAAGGCTGTGTATCACTATATTGATAAAACAGTAGTTTCTAAACACATTACTCTGATTTCTGAAGCAACAAGGAAAAAAAAAAGACAACAGAAAGCAAGTAATTTACCTTTCTGAGAACTGATCTTGAGCACATGTTAGTTGAATCTTCTTAAGGAACGTCTGGCTTGGATTCAGCTACCCAGGGCAGAACAAAAAAAGGAAAAGGCCTCTAGATCAGGTGTTTCCCAGGATGGAATTTAAAATCAGCTCCTTTATCCTGCCTGCTCTTTAATTGCCCATCGTGGATCAAACTTTCTGGCTCCAGATTTAAAAGCATCTTTAGAATACCAAGGTGCTCACACTTAGCCCCTTTCTCACTTTCTCCTTTCTATTTTCTATGTTCTTTGTGTACGTATAGGTCCCCTATTAGAAGATTATCACATTCGAAGGCACGGGCTATGTCTTATTCATCTTCGTACCTCCCTTCTTCAATCTTCGTCTGATGTGTTTGCTCATATACACTTTTCTTTTGTTAAATAAAAAGAAATATAGCTAGAGGTAAATACAAATTCTCCAATGTTTCAACTACTACTGAGAAAATGATAGATTATTAATTTGTGAAGTGGTTGACTTCCTTTTTTTTAACAGAATGAGTAGTAGATGAGGATATCTACATTTCAAGTGCAAACAAAATTTGTTTCAAAGGATTTTGATTTGTTTTTGTCTCTAAAAGGAGCAACAGCCTTATTGTGATAACTATGTCAAGATAAATCTAGAAACGGCCAATGGAGTTATTTTATTTAAGGAGAATAGCCCCAATGGTAACTATCAATACCTTAACATTTCCTTATCGACTCAGTAAACTGAATAAAATGCTCTTTTCTTTATAGCTGCCGCTAATGGAGCTAGACTCATGAGTGAGGGAGAAAGTGCCTGTGAATGACATCATTATGCAACATCATACGACAGGTTTTCTTTCTTTTATTCACTTTTCTTTCTTTTATCTCAACTTACGGTATACCATACACAGTCTTCGAAGCCTTGCTTTTTTTCTTTGAGAGTTTTCTATGTTAGCTCATAAAGAGGTGCCTCTTGCTTGTTAGGGGTTATATGGAAATACCCAATTTAGTAAGGAGTTGCATGTCAGTTCCAGTCTTACCCTTCAAACTCTGCAAACCACATGACCAGCTCCCTGTTATATTTGCCAAGAAAGGATGCTAGGGAACAACTGGGATGCTCTTTTGCTTGCTGTTCCTCCCCGCAGCACCTGAGTAGTGATCTTCTACTCCACAGTGGCAGTGGATTGCAGTCTCCAGCTTTTCTCTTTTCCAGATGTTCCCAGAGGCAGTCTCATTTTGTCTCCTCAGAGGCACCCCCACCAGTGGGGTAGTGACCCTTTCTCAGAGGTCTGACCAACTCCAGGAGGCCTCTCCTACAAACCTCCACATTCTAGTAACCTCAACATTTTCTTTTTGTTCTCTCAGCCTTAGAGTGTGAGCTGCTTCCTGGATGTCCTCTTCTCTATTTCTCCTTTTGGCTTTAAGTTCTCCAGTAACTAATGAACCAATAGCTTGTATTAAGATCTCTTTGTTGAAATGCCTAGCGTAGGGTCTGTTTTCCCGACTGGACCTAATGTACCTGTGCAGGATCAGAAGGCCCAAAGGAGAACAGCTTGCACTACTCTTTGGATTTGGATGAACCGTAATGTATTTGACTAGTTCTCTCTAAATGGACATTTAGGTTGTTTTCAACCTTTTGTAACTAGAAATAGTACATTAAACAACCTCAAATTAATATATTTTTTCACATATTTGTGAGTCTATCTGTAAGACCAATTAATAGACGACGAACTCCTGGATCAAACTGCCAAAATGCCTTTCATAGAGCTTGTGCAAATTCAGTCTCTCACAGGCAACAGACAGAAATCTTTGTATGAGAAACAGAGAAATCAATGAAGGGAAGAGTGAGCCAGGTGTGATACCATTCTCCCAGTAAGAGGGCTTAGCTAGTGGGAGAGAGAAGTACAGCATAAGATCTGTCACTTGAGGAGTTGTTTTTTGGCCTAGACTCCAAGGACTTCATTTTAAGCCCTTTGGAGTTGAGAAAAGAAGGCTAAGATACAGTGTTACTCACTTCAAAGAGGGTAATGCAAAAGGAGAGGTGCTTTGCCGTAGATTACCACCAATACCAGGCAGTTTGAGGAGTGGCTGTACCCAGTTGCTATGCCCAGTGGAGACTCAGTATCAAGCTAAAGTGGCTGTGATAGCCAGTAGCAAGAGTGACACCTACAGATGCATGGCTATTGGGACAAGCGGCAGTGCCGCTGGGCACACTGTGGTTGCTGTGAGCACCCGGGAAATACTTCCTAGGGACTCCCCAAAACATGGGTGGAACTTTGTAGGGTACTGGGTACTGTTTCCTGCAGTAGCAGAGAAGATAAGAGCTGGTAAAACACAGGCTATAAAACTCATTTACTAAGGTTGTCACTTTTTTTTTTTTCATTTCTATATCTTTGCCTCTTAAACTGGGGTAGGCTTTTGTTTAACAATAGCAAAGTAAAATCTTCTTCCTTAAGTCTTTACGATACATCTCTAGGAAGCCTGGGATGTGACTAAGTTATTTTTTACCATCTGCTGTTTGGTTTTCCTGTCATTTACTCCCTGCTCAGCAGAGCTCTTCTTTGTTTAGCAGATGGGCTACATTCTACACATTTGCTTTTGCAGATTTCACCTTAGCATTTTGTGGTAACAAAGCAGTGTGTACAACCAGGGTTGCGCTCTTCTTACCCTGTAAGATGGGCTGCCTTCCTGCAGATGACTTTTGTTTTATGTTCCACTGTGTCTTGTTTGTGCCATTCTTAATTTACACGACAGAGATGCTGTCATCACCAATGAACATTATTCAAGGGCCCCCTGGATACATGGCTGCATCGGGACTAATTTAATATGCTCTTTGTTCCAGATTATCAGGTGGCTTCTTCAAATGAATTTTTAAGTATCTCAGTGATGATGAAGAACAGAGACATCAATCAGGATTCGGGAAGACAGCTTTTGCGGAAAATGCTTACCGGGAAACAGCAAGGGTTGGTGTTGATATTTGAAAGTTTAAGAGAGGTATACTTTCATTCAGTCAACACGTGACAAATGTAAAAGGCACTAATTGTTGTTCCTGGACGAAGATGTCCATTCAGACATCTGCCCTTTCGTCATCCCACTTTTTATTTATTGCAGTCCTTTCAGCCTGAATAGTTCCTCCTGAGGCATTTTCTGCCCTCAGAAATGACTCCCTGATCCCAGTCCCTGTAGCCCTTATCATTGACACCTTTCATTTGACACATCTCATTACACCATTATTGAATAAATATATGTACGTCCTTCCCAAGTATATTAGAAAACTATCTGGACCGTTTATTTCTTTCGCAATTCTCAGAATCAGCAGTGTTCTGTCAAGAAATATTTACCGACGATGATGGTAATAGTCCATTAAAATCAGACGAAGTTTTGTTTTTAAAAAAAGGGTGCGAGGAGAGACAAGGCTAAAGGTTTGACGTTGAGCCTCACAAGCGTGTCCTCATCTAAGCGCTGTGTGTACATCATTTTGGGGAGGGTAGAGACTGAGGGAGGAAGAACATCACTGGAGGAAGAGACAGCACTTTGTCTTTCGAGTTTCAATAAAGTTTCAAAAGTCCTGCCTAAGCTATATTTATTTTTCGCTCTTCCCTTTTGATGTGACAATAAACTGTAATGCGGATGTCGACTGGAGGAACCGGTATTCAGCAGAATACATCTGAGCACTTTCCTGTCGGAAAAAGAAGCGTTCGGTTCTGTCATAGATTTTAGAATTAAGAACACACTTTTACGTTTGATGCCGTCAAGTACCTGGGCCGGCGAGGCTGGCGGCTGGCGAATTCCACCAGCAGGAAGACGCGTCGCTGCGCGGGAGCCTGCGAACCAGGCGCCGGTCCACCCGACCGAGGGCGGCACTACCGGGGTCCCGCCCAGCCCGCTTCCGGGAGCCTTATTAGGAGTCCTTCCGCCCGCCATCTCTATCAGCCCCCAGGATTGGGTACGGGAGGTGGGCGGCTCCCTTTCCGGGCACTCATTGGTCAAATCCTAATGGCGGTAAGGCACTCTGCGAGTCTCTATTGGTCCTTAGGCTCCAAGATGGGCGGGGGAAAACAGAGCGGCCGGGCTCTAGGCGGGAAGCGCGGAGTGCGCCGGCGCGTAGTCGGGGACGCCGGGCCGCGGCTTTGCTAGGGAACCGACTGTTATCGCCCCGCCCCCTCGGGGCTTTTTGTCCCGTTAACTGTCCGAGTGGCTGGGGCTCCGGCGCCGGGCGACATGCCGGTGCGCTTCAAGGTGAGGCTGGGGTTCCCGGGCCGGAATGTGGCTGGGAGGAGCCGCGGCGGGGCTGGTGCGGAGCGCCGAGGTCACGCTGCTTTTCTGCACTTCAGTCCTCGGCCCGGCTGAAGCTGCCAGCTCCGGGGCCTGCCTGCGGGGCCCAAGAATCTGTCCCCCGCGACTTACCTAGCTCCCTCTCCGTTCACTCACATTTCCAAGTTGCCGTGTGCGGAGGAGTCAGACGGTGCGAGATAGATTTACTTAAGGGGCCTCAAGAGGAGTGGAGATGGGAGGAGGTCACTTTGCAAAGAGCACTAAAGGCGACTTCAGATTGGGTTTAGCATTTAACCCCCATGACTTTTAAAACTTTAGTGTATGTGGCTTTTAAAGGCTCGAGAAATGGGTTCTTAGTAAAGACGGGGTATAAAGAAGTACACATTTTTCATTGTGCATTTTGTCCTAGCGTCTGTTAAAAGTTCCAGGTAGCTGGTAGCTGTCAGGGACTAGCACCCTGCAGCTTAACAGATGGCCACAGCGTCCCACAACTCCTGACTCTTCATTTATCTTAAAGGCTTGTATATCAGAATGGAAGGGAAGTTTGTCTTTTGTTGATTTACCAAATAGCAAAAGGTCCTAGGCATAATGCATGACATTGTGTATTCCGTGAACACTTGGGATAAATCTAGAATGATGAGACTTTAGATTGTCACTAGTTATCCGACAAGAACTCATGCTTTGGAATCGTAGCAAGTGAAACGGTAACCGCTGAGCCTGGGATTCCTGGTAGTATCTGCATCAAGTGGTGTTGAAGATTAAAGGATATAACACGTGTGAACTGCTTAGCATAGGGCTGGGTAAATATTAACTCTTATTAAGGAGCTCGTCTGTGTTTAATTTTCAGTCTGAAGTCTCTCTTGGGAGGTTCAGAAATTATTATTTTTTTTTTACTAATGCCTGCTTTAAAACATCATTCCTTAATTGCACTATATTTAAAGTGTACTTTGCATTACAGGGACTGAGTGAATACCAGAGGAATTTCCTGTGGAAAAAGTCTTATTTGTCAGAATCTTGTAATTCCTCCGTGGGGCGAAAGTACCCGTGGGCTGGACTTAGATCGGATCAGTTAGGTAAGTTGAGCAAGCTAATACCCCTTCCGACTTGGGCTAAGTTTATAACTTGGGCTAAGCCGTTATAACTTGGGCTAATTGAACCTTGGGCTAAGTTTACCAAATGATTTATTAAAAGTTCAGTTCCTGGTTGATTTATTCATTTATTAATCAAATATTTATTGAAGGTTTACTATGAGCTAGGACTATTTCCAGCTGCTAGTGGGGCAGGCCAGGTTTTACTAATGCAGGCCTCCATCATAACTTTCAGTACTGACTGAGTGGTTAAGTTAAATATTGAAAGCTAAAAAATGCCAGTGCACTTACACAAAGGCTGGGATGTAACAAAAGTCCATCAAGAGTTTTGCCTACGCCTTTCCTGGGCTGTAAAGCATGACAAAATAAGGAATTCTTAACAGGACTCTTTTAGGATTAAACAAATTTTACTGGGGGTCCGAAGAAACTCCTGAGGCCTCCACAAACAAGTTTATTGGAGACCTGAAAGAACTCCCCAAACCTCTGTGATTTAACAGGAGACAAGGTAAGGGCACCTAGACCCACTTAGTTTAAGTAAATTTACTGAAGCTCCAAAAAAAAAAGTCTTCAGGACTCAGACTTTAGTTATAGATTAAAAGAAGATAATCACTTCTGTCCTTAGATGAATGAACACTTAAGGTATATAAGCTCTGAAAAACTTTGTTATTTTGGGTTTGTATGGCAGTAATTTCCAGGCCTTCTCACTGTAACCCATTATTGAAATAAAAACTCTTTTTCCTTCCTAGTTCCTCTGCATCTTGTTACTGGCCATGAGAAATAGCAGCCTGAACCTCAGTTTGGTCTGGGAACACTAGGGATATAGCCCTGAAACAAAGTCCCTTAACTGTGGAGAGAAACAGTTAGCAAGTCACCCAATAAATAAGGGAATTTCAGGGTTTTATATAAAATTATAGGGAAGTGTGATAGGTAACATGGGGGATGGGGTGGATTGGAGGGAAAATGTTTTAGATTAGATGGTTTGGAAAGGCTCTTTTTAAGGAAGTGATATTTGAGCTGTGACCTGAAAGCTGAAGGGACAAGGCTGGGGAAGAGTACTCCCAAGGTCTTTAGGAATAAAAGCTTAGGAAGATTAGATTGCTTTCCCCAGCTTTTCAGCTAGTAAGTGACAGAACAGTGATTTGAAATCAAGTCTGTTTTGTGCAAAACAGATTATTTCAGAGGTCATATTCTTGTTATCACACATGCCTCCTCCCTGTATCCCAGAGAAGTCAGAGTCCTGGGCCAGGGTTTCATAGAGGCCTATAGAAGAGAAAGGAAACAGACTGATTTCATTGTACCTGCTTGTTTAATTCCTCCTTACTAGCATATTAGAGCTTATTCACCACCTTGTTCCTACCCAGTACCTAACATAAGGCTTCAAACAATCTATTGCTTCTTGAAACTAATTTTTAAATGAATGAATAAGCCTAAATTTGAATCCACAATAGCTGTGTGATGTGGGGCTAATTGAGCTGATTTCACCAAGTGAGATTTTAGGAAGCCATCCTGTTGCATAGGTTTGCTAGGAGGGTTAAATGAATGTTGCATATTAAGGGCCTGCTTCATGTACATGGATCAGTGCTTAGTGTCCTACATGTGATGTGTGCAAACGGGCAGGTAAGTCACATAAATGTTAGATGTTTGAGGCCAGGAAAAGACTTATGAGTAGTGTACCGATCCTGAGGAGTTAGGAAGATACAGAGGTATTTTCAGGATTAGGTTTGGAGAATAAAGGGAAGAGTGAACAAGAGTGGGTGTCTCTTTTAGGGTTTCTCTGAAGCATCATGATCTGACCCAGAGCCAAACTTCAGAGGCTGGGTATCCCTGCTTCTCCAGCAGGGTGCTAGGAAAATCCCTCTACTCATAATCCTCTTTTTACAAATGACCAGAAATGCCACATAGTTGAGCCTCCGTTAGATTAAGAATCCAAATAAATCACTGTTTAAGCATAGATATTCCACCCTACTGAGAGTCTGCAGGGCAATTATGACACTGGAAAATTCGTTAAACTGCATAGTTGTCCAATAACATTTCAGTTTAGATCAGCTGCATTTGAGGGGAAGGTGATGAAATGAGACCATAGGAGCAAAGCCACCTTAGAGCATGGTGTGTAATGAAGGAAGGAATGAACTAGAGGAGGAATGTTAGTGGGGAATTTTAGGTCAGGGGAGGGACCGAACAAGAACTCCATGTTGCTCAGAACAGGAGATGGAAGGTTAGAAAAAAAAAACAAAACAGGTATTACCCAGGGCTGGCTGTATCTTCTTTTAGAGTAGTATATTTTTGCCCTGGGGATTTGCTGGTGCTGAGAGACAACAGCAGACCAACTAGGCATCTTCTTTCATTTTGCTCTTCTACCAAAAACGTGCCTCTGTGTTAAAGCAGAGAGAAGTCTAATTGGTGATCTTCAAGCTTTTTTGTTTTTATACTTCCTAGAAAAATTTAGAAAAACATTGTGCCCCCATCACACATTTCAAAATTGATATTTTTTATAAGTTTTTATGAATAGTTTTGAATGACATAATTTCTGGTATATTTATAGTGCTCATATGTTTTACATATATTTTGTAAAAACTTTGGAACTGCCAATTTAACCCATTCCATTTATGGAAAATATGTATCATACAGTTGGCAAAGTCAGTATCCATTGGGAAAGTAACTGGCCAAATTAGAATTATTTTCTGTGAGGAAAAAAAGTCTGTTTGTCTTTAATTAAGGTAAATGTGTTAATATGCATTATGTACATTTCACATGACATCCCTCTCATACCTGAATTTTAACACTAAGAAGGTAGATGGAAAATTCTTGGAGCTATGTGAAATAAGGTGCTATTCCTTTGTTATTTCTAATATCTACCTGCTTTGCTTTGCTGTCAAATATTCTCCCTCAGTGATAAGCTTCTTGAATTGTCCCTTTGTTTGGCTCTCTACCCCTGAGATTTTGTTCTACCTTGGGGGGTGCACTGGAGTAAGTTTCCAGCTGGTTAAGAGGTGTGACTTTCTTTTGTAAAGTGGGAAAAGGGAGATTATGAAAGGGGCAGTGGAAGATGAAACTGCAGATGGCAGATGCAGCTCTCAGGCAGATAGATCAGCATCAGGTGAGAGAGCACATAATGGAGTTGAGGATCTGGAAAATGATTCCCTTAAGCTGCCCACTTCTGTTTACCCTCCCTGAAACATCTTTGTGTGCCTCCAAACAGATATCTACCCAGTGTGAAGGCCTCTGGTCTAGGGAAGCCTTTTAAAAGGGTAAGGACCCTGGGTGCCATGGCCAACACATCTACAACAGAGGCTAAGGAGCCCTGGGTTTTACTTTGTGCCCAATTTTCTTTCCACCTTCCCTTTCTTTCTGTTCTGGTCTTAATCTTGCTTCTCCACCCTGCAACATTCTTAAAGAATGGCCCTAAACTAGGGCAGTCTCTCAGTGGCTGTCATTCTGCAGAGCTCCTCTTACCTCCATAGAAAGTTAAGTTTTTGAACATTTGCTTTTCAGACAGAAATGTAGAGAAATTGTATCTTAGCTCTTGTTAAAAGGGCTTATTCTTTTTTAATTCTCAGGAAATCAGGCAGATGTAGAACTAAGATCCAGCATAATGACATCTCATCCCTTCTCATCTTGGTCTGCTCCACATAAGAGCAGCTTTGTGAATAGTTCCAAATTTTGACAGTACCGGGGCCCATTGTTCCGTTAAGTAGCACAGGAAAGTAATTAGAAACGGAGGCAACATGTACTGCCTGGCTTGCCAGGTCTATCATGTGGCAATTCTAGTGACTTCTGTTAGGATAACTGGAACATTGTGACCCCCTGATTTTTAATTTTTTGTTATGGTTAGATTTTTAATACTTTTAAAAGCAAAATTAAATATTTTATGTTGGAAAACAGAACTTTAAAAATCTTATAATCTGAAGGATATTGTGTGGATATATAGATAAATATATCTGAACTAAATTTTAAATTTCATTTCTCCTTCATAAGTGTTCCTAAAAGTTATCTTTGTAACGTTTTGCTTTGGTAACTGCTATTTTTGTATACTGTGTTTTGTAGGGATCGTGAAAGAGCCAAGTTTTATTTCAAAAAGAAGAGTCCCTTACCATGACCCACAGATTTCAAAATCTCTTGAGTGGAATGGAGCTAACTCAGAGAGCAATGTGGTTGTATCACCAGAACCAGAAGCCCTGGAAACACCAAAATCACAAGAAGCAGAACAAAAGAATGTTGCTCAAAACAGAGTTCACTCACTAGAAGCTTCCAGGGTTCCCAAAAGAACCAGATCTCACTCTGCAGACTCCAGAGCTGAAGGCGCCTCCGATGTTGTGGAAAATAAGGAGAGTGTAGCAAATCATAAACCAGTTAATGAAAATGTGGAACTGGAACAGTCTGTCAACGTTCTTTCGGAAAATGTAGATAATGGGGTAGGCGTATTCACTGCATTTCTTTTGAAAAGCATAGAATTCTTTGTTGATGTCATCCTCATTTCAGTCATATTACATTTTGTGTTTCAGAATTTTCTATTGTTTTCTTGTCTAATGTCTATAAGAATAGTTGATAAGAGGCTGTTGACTTTAGTTATTGTGAATTAGTTCTTTTATTACTACTTGCTATTTTGTACTAGTTATACTGTGACATCCCTTCACTGGATGGACCTCCTGCCTCTGGATTTTATTCATCATATATTTTCACCTGAGTCCTAAGGGAGAGATCAAATTGAGACAGAGAAGGGGAGTAGGCCCTTACTTCTGGCAAGGTGCTCAGCTGACTTCTACCTAGTCCCTTTTCAGTTTCTTATCATGTACCAGAAGACAAACAGAAACTCAATTGATGAAATGCAAAAGGAAGGAGAGCTCTGGCTGTCTCTCAAAGATCTTGCATTTCTGCTCTCTTATGTCACAGCTGGCCTGCAGCAGGTCCCTGTGAGCACATAAGCAGAGGCTGCAGGAACTTACGTGGGGATCTCACTGCCTTCTACATTTCTTTCTCGGTTCTGTTCCACTGCTTCTTCTCTGGTTCATGTCCACCACTGACTGGGACCCTGAAGAGGCATTTCAGACTGTTGGAGAAGAATCTGTAGCTTGTTGAAAAAGGTGGGGGTGAAAGGGAACAGGAAGGTGATGTGTGAGTCTGGTGAACAAAAAATGGGGTTCACAGAAGCAGTGTGCACATGAGGCAAGGTGCTGGGTCTTTTTGGTAATAGATTTAATGATGAATGATTAGTAGGAAAGGACTGAGAGGTATTATATTTTTCTTGGGATGCCTAATAGTTCTTTGATAGAAAGGAATTTTAAATGGTTTGATGCTTGAAAAAAGATACTGTTTGTAAGTTGAAAAAAGTTTGCTGTACCACAATGCACATGTAGTTAACAATTTTGTACTGTAGACTTAAAATTTTGTTAAGAGGGTAGATTTCATGTTATGCATTTTTTACTACAATTTTTAAAATGTTTGAATAGAAATTTTTAATGTCTTTGAGTGGATTCTTTTTTTGAACAGTTGGATAGACTTCTACGTAAGAAAGCTGGATTGACTGTTGTTCCTTCAAATAATGCCTTGAGAAATTCTGAATATCAAAGGCAGTTTGTTTGGAAGACTTCTAAAGAAACTGCTCCAGCTTTTGCAGCCAATCAGGTAGTTTAATGGATGTAATACATTTCTGAGTACCATTATCTAGTAATGTAGATTTATATAGAATTAGGAGTTGAAAGAAATTGGGTACTTAAGTAGCCTGGAGGTAGGTTCTAGAAAGCCAAAAATGAGAGTTTTACTAAAATCATCTGTTACTTATGATTTATAGTAGTAATATTATACTGTCCTAGGCTACTGATGATCATTGTTGCCAGATGCATCACATATACTAAATATGAGACAGGGTAATGAAAACTTGGGGAACTGGTAAGTTTTTGCATGCTGCAAGATTTTTTTACTTATTAAAAAATCGTTAAATTTATTTTATTCTAAAATGTTGTGTGTTGTCGACTAATATATTGCATGTTTCCTGTATTCTAAGAAAGGCATAATTGCTTTGAATAATTATTTTAATAAATATAAAGTACGTTGACAGTAACACAAGATATGTAATTTTGTCCTTGTATCAGATGAATAGTAATAGGCATTGTCAGTATAACTATATTTGTAAAATTCAAAAGCTGTAACGATATGGTATTAGATTTCATTATACTTTTGCACTATTTTAGTATCGAGATACCACTACTAATAAATAGTCTGTTGTTTTACTGCCTTCATCCTTTAGGGAGTTCTTAGGCTTTTAACTCTCATTTATGTTCTTTATAGTACTTCTAGGCATAGACAGGAAATACCTCCACTCAGAATATCCCCAGAGACCTATAATGGCTTAGTCTTTTTTTTAATCTGGTCTGTGTGATTTTCTTTATAAATACACACACTTTCACACACCCTCACATTCATTTTCTTCTGTATGTCAACATTCACTTGTATATTATGTACACCCCTAAGAACTGACAGGATAATTAGATTCATCAAGACAATAACATCTAGCCATCTTACATTAAGATAAAAAAAACCTAAAAATTGTGGCAGCTTTGGGCTTAATTATTATTCAGGTTTTTTTGTTTTTTGTTTTTTTTGAGACAGAGTCTTATCCTGTTGCCCAGGCTGGAGTGCAGTGGTGTTATCTTGGCTCCCTGCAAATTCTGCCTCCTGGGTTCAAGCGATTCTTCTGCCTCAGCCTCCCAAGTAGCTGGGACTACAGGTGCGTGCCACCAAACCCTGCTAATTTTTGTATTTTTAGTAGAGATGGGGTTTCACCACATTGGCCAAGCTAGTCTCAAACTCCTGACCTCCTGATCTGCCCGCCTCGGCCTCCCAAAGTGCTGGGCTCACAGGTGTGAGCCACTGTGCCTAGCCATTATTCAATTTTTAAAATACCTTTGAAATTTATATAACGTTTTAAAATCCTACGAAGTAACATAGTGGTAAGTACCCTTTATCAACCTAGTATACAGGATCGGTACTTCTTTTGCTTGCTACAGGTTTTCTTGAAGATTAAGTGTACCTAAAACATTACTTACAACCTGAAACTTGTAATTATTCAGTTTTTTATGAAGTATTTGACCTTTAAGCTAGAGCTGATTCAAATCAAAGCCCTATCATCAACAAATAGGACTTTTAATGTCAGTGAAAGTGTTGTGTAGAAATGTTACTTTTATAAGAGAAATCTCTTTCAGTATATTCACTGGCAGTTTTACTGCCTTCTTTAGTAAGTGTTTCACATAATTTTTTTTTTTTTTTTTTTTTTTTTTTTTTATACAGATTTTCGCTCTTTTTACCCAGGCTGGAGTGCAATGGCGCGATCTCGGCTCACCGCAACCTCCGCCTCCTGGGTTCAGGCAATTCTCCTGTCTCAGCCTCCTGAGTAGCTGGGATTACAGGCATGTGCCACCATGCCCAGCTAATGTTTTGTATTTTTAGTAGAGACAGGGTTTCACCATGTTGACCAGGATGGTCTCGACCTCCTGACCTTGTGATCCACCCGCCTCGGCCTCCCAAAGTGCTGGGATTACAGGCGTGAGCCACCGCGCCCGGCCCACATAATTTTTAAAGTAGCAAATGCTCATTGTTCAAAGCATATAGATTTCAGAGTCTATGGATCGAAGAGCTTTGAGACAGCTTTCAATGCTTGTTGACAGGAAACCTCTAAAAAGGTTGTTCATTTCTATTAGACACCTGCTTTCTGAAAGGATGTCTTATATTAATATGTAAAGGAGTCAGAACAGTTTTTGACGGGAAAGTCCTTGAGGTTATACTGTACTAAAAAAAGATATACTGTTTAGATCTGATCTGTATGAAGATTGTACTGTTTAGCGTTACAAAGCAGTAATATAACTTGCTTGAGTTCCTTATCTTTTCCATTTGCTTTCCTTGTAATCAGTGGTAACATGCCATGATATAGAAACCATATTGTGAAATAGTAAGGGTAAAAGGGTAAAAGGAAACATTTAAAATAGAAATGTAGTATTTGCTCAGGACATTTTTTTTGCCTTAATAAAATACACTGAAAATAAGCCAAGGGAAGAAAAGTTAAATATTGAACATATTGAGTACTCAAAAATGTCAAGAATTTTCTATTAAGGCAGGAAGAAAAATATCATGTCAGGGAGAAAGAAAAGAAACCTGTGGAACTGACAACAGGGTTGCCTTAAAGCTAATGTCTCTGTCACATTAAAATATGCCAATATTTATTTTGGTTATAAGCTATATTTTGATGACAAAACTATTATTCGGAACATAGTAATGAGTATATAAAGTTGACCTCTGGATGTTAATAATATATGTGAAATGAAATTACAATCATTTATGATTTTGCTATTTTTTTGTCCTGTAATTCAACTTCATGTATGTTTCATTAAGTAATTGAAGACCAAAGTTCTGTATATTTAATGAACAAAACTAAACTAAACTAATTTTTGTTTTAAGGTTTTCCACAATAAAAGCCAGTTTGTTCAGCCATTCAAAAGTAACTCAATCATCCATGAAACTGAATACAAAAGAAATTTCAAGGGTTTATCTCCAGTGAAAGAACCAAAATTAAGAAGTGATTTGAGAGAAAACAGAAATCTTGAAACAGTATCTCCTGAAAAGAAGGTATTCATCAACTTTTAATCTTACCGTACAAAATCCCCATTATTTTAGATTCTCCACATTTTCTTTTACTTACTACCACTTGGAAGTTTTTGGTTTTCACTAGTTCATTAATTCATTTGTTCATCAAATGTTCATTGAACCAGCTACTAGGAGCAGACATGGTAGTGGTACTGAGAATACAAGGCTGGCAAACACAGCCCCAAGCAGCTCTGGGCTAGTGGAGAGACAGGCATAAATAAAATGATACAGCATGATGAGTACTTAACAATATAGCAGGTAAGTCTACTGTGTTTAATATCAAATGACTGGATTTACAGTAATCTCCAGGGGTAACAGTAGTGATAGAAATACTTGTTTTAGGTTATGGAAATTAAACACATATATACTCACATGTATTTTATTTTATTTTTAATTTTTTTATTTTTTTCAAGACAGAGTTTCACTCTGTCACCCAGGTTGGAGTGCAGTGGTGCAATCTCGGCTCACTACAACCTCTGCCTTCTGGGTTCAGGCAATTCTCCTGCCTCAGACTACTGAGTAGCTGAGACTACAGGTGCATGCCACCATGTCCCACTAATTTTTGAATTTTTAGTAGAGATGGGATTTCACTATGTTGGCCAGGCTGGTCTCGAACTCTTAGCCTCAGGTGATCCGCCAACCTTGGCCTCCCAAAGTACTGGGATTATAGGCATGAGCCTTCATGCCCAGCCATCACGTTTATTTTAAACCAAAGCTTTAGCATACCAAATTATAACCAGTGTAATTCACATGATTTACCTCAGAATATAGAAACAGCTGCTTTTGTGTGAAATTATAGCCTCTTAAGTTGTAGAATCAGGCTAAAATGATTATAAATTTCAGGTAAATGGCGTATAAATACTATTTTTGAATCTCCTGGAATGTTGATACTTGATGTGTTATAGATCCTAAAAATGGAAAATAACTAATTACAGGTAAATATGACTGAAAGTAAAATGATTTATACACACACACACACACACACACACATTGGGCCTATGATATTATTGTGGAAAAAAAGAATTGTCATTCAGTAAGGCAATCTGGTAACTAATTCATCAGGATCCTGTGTTTAATTACTGTAACAATTATAAATTTAGGATACCAAGTTCAGTATGTGCTAACATTATTTAGATATATATTTGTTAACGTAAAAGTTTTCTTCCTTAGCCAAAGATCTGAAACCTTCATAGTTAGAAAATGAAGCGATATCCTGAGCGAAACTTCAAAAATAACCAAATATACTAAAAATTTCAAAACTTGTTTGTTGATTTCTTATGATTTTTGTTTTCTTTAGTATCTAAAGCTTCTAAAAATAGAAATGTAATTAAATATTTAAGTCTAACTTTATAACATCCATGTTTTCACTTTAATGTGTGACATTTTAAGCATAAGAAGCTTAAGTTATTTCCATTTCAGTGTAATAAAATAGACGATCCTTTAAAATTGGAAGCAGAGATGGAATTGAAAGACTTACACCAGCCTAAAAAGAAGCTTACTCCTTGGAAACATCAAAGGCTCGGGTATGTATTTTAATAGGAAAATACGGTATTTCAGTGATAAAAGTGATGAAATATTTACTTTCATTTCATTTCTATTAGGAAGGTGAATTCTGAATATAGAGCAAAATTTCTCAGCCCAGCTCAGTATTTATATAAAGCTGGGGCTTGGACACGTGTGAAGGGAAGCATGCCAAATCAGGTGAGTGTACATGAACTCAAGCCCTCAGGTTCTTCCAGCCTCTATTAACGCTTTAATTTCACAGTGAGTTCTATTAACACTTTAATTTTACAGTGAGTTCTATTAACACTTTAATTTCACAATGAGTTCCATTTGGTGACAGAGACCACAATTTAAAGAAGTATGATTCAGTAATAGCACTAAAAGTATCAGGAACTTACGTATTAGGATGTAAATTATCAGTGTGTGTTTTTTTAAATGGCACTGGCTCTTCAGAAATTAATATGTATTGAAGTCTTTTTTAAGTTAGTGCTTTTTACTGTCAAACATTTGATTGTGTTAATAGACTCAATTTATGGAATTGTTTCATTATAGATTTGATTATTTTAGAATCTCCAGACCTCCACTCTCTCAACTGAAAATTAATTTTCAAGTTTAAATAATTTGTCTGATAGGGATGCCCATTGTCAATGTGTACTGTTACAGTTTGTAGGCAAAAGAAAGGTGCAGCCTATGCTATTGGAGGTTTGAGCTATAGTGTTGGGGTACTCTAACATATGGAAGAAACTCTGGGGATCTGAAGGTAGGTTTGAGGAGAAGGGTAATTCTAGAGTTGATAAGTGCTATTGTGTAATTAGCATCTTTTAAATCATATCTTGACAGTTCTGTGAGAACAAGCTAAATGAAAATGTTTCTGTTTAGATTAGGCATTAGTAAACATCCCATTTCCCCCTCTCATTGTAAACAGAAGGATAATTTGGATGGGGAATGAGCCTTTTATTTAGCTCAGTACTTAAAACCATGGCCCACAATTATAGGTTATCAGCCTCTGGGGGAAGGGGCTAGTGCTCTGAGCTGCTGGTTCTTTGAGCTGCAGCACCCAGACATATGTCCTGGAAACTGCCATGCTCTGCATATCGTTTCAGGAGGTCACTTAATTCCTTCCACTTTTGCCACTCTTTTGCTTTTTACTTCTGTGTTTGAGCATGGCTCAAAGACAGCACAGGCAAAGTAAAAGACAATGTTCAAAGCTGTCCCAGATATTATCTGGGGCAATGTTCATATATTCACCTTAGTGAAATCAAGTTATAACTATGAGCATTGAAAGCAGCCATGATTGGAGAAAGGCAGTGAGTCAGCTAAACTCTTGAGCAGTTGATGACCATCCCACATCTTGGCAAAGATCTCCTGACTGAGGAGTCTAATAGTGGGAGTGAGGAAGAGCCGGAAAGAGGCAGAACAGTGTGTGGCCGGCAAATCGGTGTCAGCCGCTGTCTGTTGTGTTTAGGCATGACACTACATTGAGGTTATGAGAAACTCCTTGTTTCGGAAGACTGTGTTTTTTCTGAGATTTCTTTAAGCTAAGATGAGTTTAGGCCTCAGACGTAAACATCAAGTGGACTAAGAAGATTGTTAAAACTGAAGTCATAGTAAAATGAGATTTCTTATCCTGCCTTGATGGAAGAGAACATTGTTGTCAATTTAAGATAGACTTTTCAAGGTTTGCTATTAGGATATCTTAGTAATGTTGCTTTTTTTGCTTATTAAATACTATATTGCTGGTTTAAAATATTTAAATTAGTGGTATAGTTTGCCTTAATTTCTTTGGGAAAAATAACTCAAAAAGTAAATTAAAGTTGGAAAAGAGTAAGAATTTTTAGCTAAGACATCAATGATCATGGATGATGATAACAGTTTTAGTTGACCAGCTTATAGACATTTAATATGGGCCATGTTTTACTTATGTCTCTTGGAAGTCATTTACTATAGGCAGTGGATTATGAGGTTCCTAAATATAAGGTACAGTGCTACTTCATTTTCCCACTCCTAACATTTCAGGAAGGAGCGTATTCACACTCTTCAAATGCACTCAAACGTAAGTGACTGGGTTGTTGGAATATTAACTCATTTTTGAGTCACATTAGTTTTTCAGTCCATATGTCGTCTTCATTTCCTTCTATGTTTGAGATGTATTTTTTCAATCTGTTTAGAGTCTAGTCACTGGAAATTTTATGCTAAGTCCCAAGTACCTCTCATATAGCATTAGGGTGGTTGGTTTTATTTGCCCAGTGGTTGTTCATTTGTCTTCTTTATTATAATAACCACATGACCATTGCTTTTAAAAGTACTCACTTAAGGGATTGTTTCTTAATAGTAGTCAGCAATTACAATTTTTTAGGTTCTATTGTAAGAATAACTACTTAATCTATGTTAACCTTTTTTTCTTAATTGTCAAGTAATCTTTTCATCATCCATTGGTTGAGGTGATTTTATTCTAATGTGCCTTCCACAAATAGGACTGTGTTTCAAGATAAAGTCCTGCATTTGAGAGATGTCCTGTAATTTGACAGACATTGTAAAGACTAGGTATAAAGTGACCCCTCATTTTTGGAGGAGGATTTTTGGGTAAAAAGAGTTTTTATCTCCAGTTTCTTCAGTTTGAATTTTCTGCATATATTTTAAATAATTTTGTTGAAGTCTTGAGTTGGACAAAGAAATTAGGAAAATGAGACATTCTACTTACAATTATATAATATAATATGATGACATTACTTGACCCAGAAAGGTGTATATATGTTGTTTTGAGTTGGGAGTGGTTTTCTTTCTATTCTTTTTAGTGGCTCTGGTTATTGGCTGTAGGGGTCGTTCTATTTAACGTTGAGTTCATGCCATTGATTATTTCCCCCACTCTTTTTAGTAGAACATATTATTTTGGGAAATGTCAGCCTTCTAATGTTTCATCTTACTTTAGGGTTATAGATATTGAAAATCACATATTTGTAAAATATAGCATTAGCACTAAGATTACTAATAAAGATTTTTGATATAGTAAATTTAAAGTACATAGTCTTAAATGTCAGTAAGAAATAGAACTGAATAAGTCAAAGTTCTACAAAATTTTTATAGAGTATCTTTTTTTCCTCCTTCTAAATGAAGTTGATGTCACGTAAAACTGGATAACTGTGTACATGGAGGGTATTCATGCATTCTTTCATTCATCACGCATGGCTAGACGCAGCTGACACTGCTGCCTCCTCCACCTCCACTGTCCCGCCACTCTACCCAACACAGTGCAGGACTGATTGGTACCCCTTTTGAACCACTTCTTCAATTTACATTTCATTTGTTTATAATGGCATAGAGCCCCACCAATATTATGATAATTTATGTGCAGGTTGGCCTCCTGTCTCAGACTGTGAGCTCATTGAGTGCAGGGAGTTTCTTGCTTATCTTTGTCTGTCATGTCTAGCTCAGTCATACCACTTAGTCCACACTCAGGGCAGGTTGTGGACTCAGTGCTTAAATGCTACGTTTTTCCCTCACCTCAAGGAGTTCTTAGGTTGTTACAGGGGGACGACATGTGCAATTAATTCCAGTAAAATTGAATATGTGTTAATGGAGATATGCACAAAGAACTTTGAGAACATAGAGGAGGAAGTGATGCTAAGGCACATAGGTGATGGAATGGCCATGAAACATTTGAAATATGCGGGCACTTACTGCATTAACATGTAGAGTATATTGAGGCACTTTATAACAAGGTTCCTGTGCATTCAGAATACCCTGGTTAGAAGTGCAATAGAGTTAATTCATGTACCACACTTCTACCTGTTAAATGCAAAACCACTGCTAGAAATTTTCTTTAAAGTTATAGGAGTTGACAGAAATGATAAATAAACATAGCTCATTATTATTTTTTTTTTTTGGCAGTGAAGAAAATATTTCAAATTATCCTTTCAGGTATGGTTCATTAGAGTAGGACTCTGTTGGGATTATATGGTTTCTTATGCATTACAGGTGCTGTATTTTGCTTTGGCCAATTTCCTAGAGATGTAACACTTTCATCTCTCTGTACTGACGATTGTGTCTTGTTAAGGAGCTGAGAATATGTTTCTACCATTACTTTTGCATTGCCATTTCATTATTTGCTTTTTTTCTTTGCCCTGAAAGAGAAGCAATTCTAGAATAAAAATTTTCTGTCTTGATGATGAAGAAATTAGTGTTTTTTGAGAATAAATAAAGATATTAAACAGAATTTTAAGGGTAAAACTTCAAATTATTATTTTTTTACCTTGTGGAATTGCATTTGGAGAAGCCAGCAGGTGGCAGTATGATGTATAAAGTGAAAGACAAATTGGTACAGCTCCTTTTCATAAGAAAATGTTACTTGCGTATTAAAGAATTCATATTACTTTGTAAATCATCAGAGATTTTTTAATCCTGTCATTTTGTTGAACATATTGCAATTATGATCTTATGGGCTATTGTTTTTAATTATATATTTAGTACTTTTTTTTTTTTTTTTAAGTTGAGGTTTTGCTGATTCCAAGGGAATATTGAGGAATTTGGAGAGGGAAGCCTCATAAGTCTCTCAGTGGGGGCTTCTGTAGCAGTAGTAGCTGTATATAAAACCATGAAATAAAACTAGGTTAGGGATTTCTGGCATGTAAGTACTCTTCCAGAGGTGAGGAAATAGTAATAATAATTAGATTGCCTAATTTCCCTGTCATCAGCAGCATCCCAGCCGTGCAAGAATGTGGCTGATTTTCAAGATAATAATAAGGTATCTTGGTTACTGAACTAATTACTAAAAATACTAAGAAATATTGATTGACAAGTTTGGTAGATACTTAGAAAGGAGAATAATGTGTTTCATTGGTTTCCATTAATATTCAGTTATGGCATTAACCTATCATTAAGTGTGTTTCTGTATTCCTTCTCTAGGGTTCTGTAAATGCCATGTGGTATGCCGAGGTTGGTTGCTTTTGAGTTTTTAAAAACTATAATAATGCATAGATTACTTGTGTAATTTCAGTTGGAATAAAAAGTAGGTGTCAGTATTTTTCTTAGCTGCTATGAATTTCTCCCTGCCTGCTGGTCTGAAATAAAATAACTGCATCATGCTTTAGCTTGATTGTTTTAGTTTTTGCTTAAATGCACAAAGTCTGATGACTGTTTGTGGCTAATTTTGCCTGCCTTTGTCCTTGGTCCCTGGCTATGTTTGTACAATGTCTTTGATATGCTACTTGGTGCTATTTGTAAAGAAGCATTTACAATACTATGTGATGTCTGAACTCTCCTGCATAGGTTAAAGAACTCCGAGAAAAGGCTGAGTTTTATAGGAAGCGAGTTCAGGGGACACATTTTTCTCGGGACCATCTGAATCAGATTCTGTCTGATAGCAACTGCTGTTGGGATGTCTCCTCAACCACAAGCTCAGAAGGAACTGTTAGTAGCAACATCAGAGCATTAGATCTTGCTGGGTGAGATATTCTTTGTGGATGGTGAAAAAGTTTTTTGAAGCTTATGTAGATCATAGAATGACATAGGAAAATGACCTGACTACTCAAAATTTGTCTCCTAGCCAAATGGAAATGTGGCAGCCATTTATTTCATTTTTATTAGCTGTGAAAAATAAGGCAATGTAGACTTGCTTTATTTGTGTATAAATACATAATGCAAATATGGAAGGCTGGAGTTTTATAATATTCTTTGTTGACAATTAATAGCAGAGAAGAGATGACTATATGGTAGATGTAAAAAGACCTTTAGAAGGTAAAAAGAAAGTCAACAACAACAAGAGACTATAAGCTATTAATACATATCCATTATCATTCATTACTGGATTTTGTGGCTAATTCAGAACTTCGCTCCTGATTTAATGGGAGAGCTCTCTGCTGTTTTGGGTTTAAAGTGAACATGATTTAACTATTTGTAAGAGAAAGTAAGTCAAGAACTTAGACCGTGGGGGTCCTAGTTTATATGTGTAAATGCCAGTTTAGGGGCTAGGTATGACTTGTGTCAGCAGATATACACAAACATATATGCGAAGGTAGGAGTAAAAGAAGATAAACATATTTTGGAATATTTTAATGGAAACTCCAGATTGTAACTTTCATTTATTTTACTATAAAATGAATTATATTTCCTTCTTCAATACCTGAACAAGGCAGTATCTATGGAATACATATATTGTGAACAGTAGAAGGAAATGATAGACTCAGTAAAATTGGTGTAGACTAGAAAAGTGCAAACCATTTACATTTAAAATAAAATAAAACTTACTTTGTTATGCAGAGACCCTAGAAGCCATAAGACTTTGCAGAAATGTCCTTCTACAGAACCAGAAGAAAAAAGAGGTATCATTGAAGAACAGCCCCAGAAAAATACCATGGAGAAATTGGGCATGTCAGCTCCCACCATACCTGTTAGAAGGCGGCTGGCGTGGGATGCAGAGAACACCAGTGAAGATGGACAGAAACAGCCCAGGGAGAAAGAGGAGGAGAAGGAGGAGGAGGAGGAGGAAGAGGACAGGAAAATGGGCAAGCAGGCTTATATAGGAGAGCAAGAGCAGTTGGATGTACATGAGAAATCTAAGGCAGAGAAGATGAAAGAAGGGTGAGAGTTTTAAATTACTTGGTATAGAGAAGCGTTATTTACATAGTTGATATGTATTTTGTTTTGTCACTAAGTATGGTGGTTTGCACTTTTGATTTTATCACTAATAAAGTGCAGATTTTATTTCAGTGTCACAAAGTAGGCACTGCTGCATGGTTAATCTGATTCACTCAGGTATTTAAGTCACCACTGATTGGTAATTGAATACTTGAATTCTGGGGTAATTTGGGAGGAAGTAGTAAGGTTTATTTTCATTTATCTCCTGTAATTTATGATGTGCCAGATTTGCAAATGTGTGTGGAAGAATGACTGTGTTTAAAGAAATAAACTTGTGTTCTTTAATATCAGATGATTCTACCAAAAAAGAAAATGTTCTGTAACATCTTGAAAAAAGTGATGTCTGAAAATAGCTAATTCCTATTGTTTTATGTGTAAATTGCTTTGGGGAGTGGCTCTTCTTCATCATTGATAATAGTGCCTTTTGTCTGTAATCCAAATCACTTATTTATTCATGGATGTTACAACTAATAATATGGAACTTGAGCCTTGATATAAGGAAGGATTCTCTGCTGTGTTGGTTCTGACTTGCAGTGATTTTCCCCCCATCCAGTATTCATCACTTTTTTCTTTGTGGGTTGTTTTATCTATTGATACAGCTTATAGTATTTTTTTCAGTGTTCAAATTTTATTTTTGATCTTGTGCTTAGTTGTTCTGTTCATTATTGAAAATTTCAGTCACTTTTAACTGCCTGTGGATTTGGTTGTTATTTTTTCAGAAACAAAATGGCCTCCTCTTACAAGTTTTCTACTTTATTATTGCACAATGATGGCAAAATATTTTTTTAATCGTATGTTCTGGAGGAAATGCTGTATAGATTCATAGATTGTTTCAATTTATAGGTCAGATTCTTCTTCTGTATCCTCAGAAAAAGGAGGCCGGCTTCCTACTCCCAAGCTGAGAGAACTTGGTGGAATCCAGAGGACTCATCATGATCTCACTACTCCAGCTGTTGGTAATCGGCAAACATCATGCAGTTCTTATTTAACCTGCTTTTTCTACATGATAATTTAGTGTAATTGAAACTGTCATCTTCTTTATTTTTCCAGGTGGTGCTGTTTTAGTGTCTCCATCTAAGATGAAGCCTCCAGCCACAGAACAGAGGAAAAGAATGACCTCTCAGGATTGTTTAGAAACTTCAGAGAATGAATTTACTAAGGTAAATATATTTTGTGGAAAAAAGCATCTCATCTGGGACTAATTATCATAGACACATGTAATAAGTGAATGATAGGTTAAGATTTTAGAGAATTGTGGCTATCACATGAGGAGATGATACTATTAACCTGCTTTTAATAAGGCAAAAGGCTTGACTTTTTTTTCTGGTAGAAGCACTGCATTTTTGTTAATACAGTTTTAACTTTGTCAGTAGTGACTCAATAGGAAGAGGAAGAAAACATACTTTTATTAAGCATCTACCGTGTGACAGTGGTATTCCAGCTATGTTCCAGGCATTGTTTTAGTGCTGGGGATGTAGCAGAGAACAAATAGGCAAAGATCATGGCCATCATTGAACTTACATTCTAGTGGTGAAGAAAGACAATAAACAATATAACCAGATAAAATATGTTGTATTTTAGATATTGATTAGTATTAAGGAGAAAAATAAAGCTGCTGAAGTGAACAGGAAGTGGCTAGGAAAATCCTCAGTGCAAGAGTGGCATTTAAGCAGGATCTGAAAAACGTAAGGGATTGACCTGTATGCGGACCTGGGAAGGTCTAGGTGACGAGGACAGCAAGTGCGGATTCCTCAGGGGAGAGGGCACCTGCTTCCTTGAGGAACAGCTAGGAGGTCAGTATAGCTGGAGAAGAGAGAGAATGAGAGGGAGAGTAGTGTGGATAATGAGTTCAGAGACATAATGGAGGGCTAAATTGTGCAGGGCTTTGTAAATCATAGCAAAGATTTAAAAATTTTTTTTCTGTATGAAGTGGGAAGCTATTGGAAAGGCACAGGAGTGACATGATTTTACTTAGTTTTTTCTAAGGTCTTTCTGGCTGCTGTGTTGAGAATAGATAGCAGCAGAGCAAGAGCTGCAGCATAAAAACAGCCTTCACAAGGCTTACATTTTCATTGGGAGGAATAGACAAATCATTTTTTAAGAAAATAATTTCACATAGTAGTAAGCACTGTTAATGAAATAAAACTACAGATGACCTCTAAGGGATGGGTAAGGCAGCTTTAGTTTGGGCCATTCAGGGCAGGCATCTCTAAGGAGATGACATTTTAGCTGAGACCTGACTGATGAGGAAGGTGCCGTGCAGAGATCTGGGGCAGATTGTTTTCCAGTTAGAAAGAACAGGGGCTGGGCTCAGTAGCTCACGCCTGTAATCTCAACGCTTTGGGAGGCCAGGGCGGGTGGATCACTTGAGGTCAGGAATTTGACACCAGCCTGGCCAAAATGGTGAAACCCTACATCTACAAAATTACAAAAATTTGCTGAATGTGGTGGCACATGCCTGTAGTCCCAGCTACTTGGGAGGCTGAGACACAAGAATTGCTTGAACCTGGGAGGTGGAGGGTGCAGTGAGCCCAGATTGTGCCACCGCACTCCAGCCTGGGTGGCCGAGTGAGACTTGATCTCAAAAAAAAAAAAAAAAAAAGCCAGCAAGCAAGTGTAAGTGTTCTTGCCTAGGGCAGAAACCCAGAGATAATTAAGAGAGTGAAAAGTCGAGTGTGGCTGGAGCCTGGAGAGGAAAGAGGAGAGGGCAGGAAGTGAGATTGGAAAGGTAGGCTGATTAAGGATCTTGGATGTTATTTATTTATTTTTAAATTAAATTTTATATTCACTTTTTTTTGGGGGGGGAGGGGAGGACAGGGTCTCCCTGTATTGCTCAGGCTGGAGCGTAGTGGTACGATCTTGGCTCACTGCAACCTTTGTCTTCCAGGCTCAAACAGTTCTCATGCCTCAGCCTCCCAAATAGCTGGGACTACAGGTGCCTGCTGCCATACCTGGTTAATTTTTTGTATTTTTAGTAGAGGTGCGGTTTCCTCATGTTGGCCAGGCTGGTGTTGAACTCCTGACCTCAAGTTTTCCACCTGCCTAAGTCTCCCAAAGTGCTGGGAATTCAAGTTACAGCCACCATATCTGGCCCATTTTTTTGTCTTTTGAGACAAGGTCTTGCTCTATTGCCCAGGCTGGAATGCAGTGGTGAGATCATGGCTCATTGTAGCCTCCTGGGCTTAGGCAATCCTCCCATTTTAGCACCTGACTAGCTGGAACCACAGATGTGTGCCACCATGCCTAGCTAATTTAAAAAAAAATTTTTTTGTAGAGATGGGGTCTCACTGTGTTTTCCGTGCTGTTCTGAAACTCCTGGGCTCAAGCAGTTCTCCCTTCTTGGCCTCCCAAAGTGGTAGGCTTACAGGCTTGAGCCAGTGTGCCAGCCTGAATTTTATTTTAGATTCAGAAGATACATATGCAGTTACATTGATATATTATGTAATGCTGGGATTTGGGCTACTATTGAACCCATCACCCAAATAGTGAACATTGGACCCAATAGGTAGTTTTTCAACCCTTGCACCCCTCCTTCTCTTCTCCTTTTTGTGGTTCCTAGTGTCTGTTTCCATCTTTATGTTGCGTGGACCTATTGTTTAGCTCCCACTTACAGAGGAGAATATGCAGAATTTGATTTTATGTTTTTGTCTTAATTCACTTAGGATAATGGCCTTCAGCTGCATCCATGTTGTTGCAGTGGACATAATTTCATTCTTTTTTATGGCTGCACAGTATTCTATGGTGTGTATATGTACCACATTTTCTTTATCCAGCCCACTGTTAATGGACACCTATGCTGATACCATGAGTTTGCTAATGTGAATAGTGCTGGATTAAACCTATAAGTGAAGTGAAACCATTCTTTTTTCATAGAATGATTTCCTTTGGGTAGATACCCAGTAGTGAGATTGCTGGGTTGAATGGCAATTCTAATTTTAGTTGTTTGAGAAATTTCCATACTGTTTTCCACAGGGGTTGCATTTCCTTTTCTCTGCATCCTTGCCAACACCAACACCTGTTACTTTTTTGACTTTTTGATCATAGCCTTTCTGACTGGTGTGAGATGATATCTCATTATGGTTTTGATTTGCATCTCTGTTGATTAGCAGTGGAGCATTTTTTCATGTTTGTTGGCTGCTTTGTCTTTTAAGAAGCATCTGTTCATGTCCTTTGCCCAATTTTTAATGGAGTTGTTTTTTTTCTTGTTAAATTCCTTATAGATTGTGGATATTAGTCCTTTGTCAGATATGTCATTTGCAAATATTTTCTCCCATTCTGTAAGATGTCTATTTACTCTCTTAATTGTTTCTTTTGCTGTGCAAATGCTGTGTAGTTTAATTAAGTCCCAATTGTCAATTTGTTTTTGTTATATTTGTTTTTCAGTACTTAGCCATAAATTCCTTGCCTTGGCCAATGTCCAGAAGAGTTTTTTCTAGGTTTTCTTCTAGAATTTTTATACTTTGAGGTCTTACATTTAAGTCTTCAATCCATCTTGAGTTAATTTCTGTGTATGGCGAGAGGTAGGAGTCTAATTTCATTCTTCTGTATATGGCTAGGCAGTTTTCCCAGCACTGTTTATTGAATAGGGTGTCCTTTTTCCATTGTTCATTTTTTGTCATCTTTGTTAAAGATCAAATAGCTGTAGGTGTATGGCTTTATTTCTGGTTTCTCTTTTCTGTTCCATTGGTCTATGTATATGTTTGTTTGCCAGTACCATGATGTTTTGGTTTCTGTAACCTTATAGTAAGAGTTTGAAGTCGAGTAATGTGATGCCTCCAGCTTTGTTCTTTTTTTTTTTGCTTTGGATTGCTTTCGGCCCCTTTTTTTCCTTCCGTATGAATTTTAGAACTGTTTTTTCTAATTCTGTGAAAAATGACATTGGTAATTTGATAGGAATTGCATTGAATCTGTAAGTTACTTTGGACAGTATGGCAGTTTTAACAATATTGATTCTTCTAATCCATGAGCATGGAATGCTTTTTCATTTGTTTATGTCGTCTATAATTTATTTCAGCAGTATTTTGTAGTTCATGTGGAGGTCTTTCATCTCCTTGGTTAGCTGTGTTCCTAAGAACTTTATTTTTGGAGGAGCTATTGTAATGGGACTGTATCCTTGATTTGGTTCTCGCCCTGAATTATTGGTGTGTAGAAATGCTACTGATTTTTGAACATTGATTTTTGGATCCTGAAACTTCACTGAAGTCATTTAGCAGTTCTTTTGGAGGGATTGTTAGGGTTTTCTAGACTTAGAATCATATCATGAGTGAACAGAGATAATTTGACTTCCTCTTTTTCTATTTAGATGCCTTTTGTTTCTTTTTCTTGCCTGCTTGTTCTGGGTAGGACTTCCAGTACTATTTTGAATAGAGGTGGTGAGAGTGGGCATCCCTGTCTTGTTCTCAGGGGGGAATGCTTCGAGCTTTTGCCCATTCAGTATGATACTGGCTGTGGGTTTGTCATAGATGGCTCTTACTATTTTGAGAGGTATGTTCCTTTACTGCCTAGTTTGCTGAGGATTTTTATCATGAAGGGATATCAGACTTTATCAAATGCTTTTTTTGTATCTGTTGAGATGATCAATTTTTAATTCTGTTTATGTGCTAATACTATTCCCAAAAATTGAGCAGAAGGGATTTCTCCCTAACACAGTCTATGAAACTAGTATCATTCTGATACCAAAATCTGGCAAGGACACAACAAAACAGAAAACTTTAGGCCAACATTCCTGATGAACATAGACACAAAAATCCTCAACAAAATATTATCAAACTGAATCCAGCAGCACATCAAAAAGATAATTCATCATGATGAAGTGGAACTTATTCTCTTGGATATTATTCTAATGGCGCTGGGACACCTTTGGAATATGTGAAGCATCAAAGCAAATATGATATGATTCACAAGGTAAATCAAATCATTGTGGCTTCTCATTGGAGAACTGCTATACACAGGGCTAAGTAGAGCGGTGAGGCCTCTTGGCCTTTTGAGGTTTTAGGCACAAAAACAGATCACAGAATCAGTTATGTTAAACCTGGGAACCCCGTGTGTTTTGTTTTACAGGTTTCTTTCAGTTATTTTCAGTAATTGTAAAACCAATTTGACAGAGATCACAAATTTTGTTCATATATGTAGAAAAAGGAATGAAAAAGAGGACTATCTCTTTGGAATTATTTGTATTGTACTAAGTGATACTCATTTAAAAAGGAAAGCAAGTGGAAGGTTTGTGGTTTTATACTAGATATTAATTTGAAATATGTTTATTGGTTGAGACCAACAGCAGCCCTAGGCCGCTTTGAAGCAATAAGCTCTACAATCACAGAAAATGATTTTTAAGTTTAGAAAGTAATGTTTTGAATGTTACATTGATAGAATCAAAGATAATAAGTGAAGGCAACAACTACAAGAAATAATCAGGAAAGTGTGGAACTGTATTTGATTTTACTGGCTTGCCTTCTTTTGTTTTTAATTTAATTTTTTAAATATATAAATAGAGATGGGTCTTGATATATCGTTGTCCAGGCTGGTCTTCAACTCCTGGCCTCAAGTGATCCTCCCTTCTCAGCCTCCCATGGTGCTAGGATCACAGGCATGAGCCACTGCATCTGAACTATTTTTATTGTATTTTTTGAGATAGTCTGTCTCTGTTTCCTGGCTGGAGTGCAGTGTTGCAATTATGACCCACTGCTGTCTCTGGCAATCTCTGTCTCTCGGCTCAAGCAATTCTTGTGCCTCAGCCACCCAAGCATCTGGATTACAGGTGTGTGCCAGCACATCCGACTAATTTTTGTATTTTTAGTAGAGATCGGTTTCACCATGTTGGCCAAGCTAATCTTAAACTCTTGGCCTGAAATGATCATCCTGCCATGACCTCCCAAATTGTTAAGATTACAGGTGTGAGCCACGGTGCCCAGCTGCCTTCTTTTAAAAAGTAAAATTGTTAATGACTTTTAGGATAGTGATACTTGGTCATTGTAGAAAACAGCAAATGCTGACCAAACTAAAAAAGAAGATAAATAACTCACATGTATATATACTGTTTAGGGACATCTGCTGTTAAATTTTTCAGGTATTTAGGTATACCTTTGTGTTAGTATATTTGGTTATTTATTATACTGTAGAAAGGTTTAATAATTATTTTTTAGCACTGTGTTGTGAACATATTTTCATATCATGAAATATTTATAATCTTATTTTTATGGAAACATGCAGTCTATAGTTATACCAAAGTTTTTAAAAACCAGATGCTTATTGTTGAAATCTAATTGTTATTTAGATTCCTGTTATTATTTCTTAATTTGTTTTGAAGAACTACTGTAAAGAAATCCATCCTTTACCTACATTTTTGTTTATATTATTTTGTATATGTAACTACTCCCCAAGTATTACTGTATAGTCAAAGAAGTCAAAGTACACAAAATTTTAAGGCTTCTGCTGTGTTTTGCCAGCCCCACAGAAAGATTGTACTCCCGATAGCAGTCTATGAGATTCCCAATTTTTCCACATCCTTGCCAGCTTGGGTGTCACTGTTTTTAAAAAAATAATTTTTGAAATTTGGTAAGTGAAAAATTAGTATCTCACTGCTTTCATTTTTTATAATTATTTGATCATTAGTAAGGTAGAATATGTTTACTGTTTGTGATTTGTGTGTACAGTATATGAATTGCTCATTCATACTCTTTCTACTTTTTAATTAGGTTTATATTTTTCTTATTGCTTTTAAAGAAACATTTGTGTAGCAATGATAATTCATTATCAATCATAAAAGTTGTATATTTTTCCAAATTCTGCATTTTTCTCTTAATTTTTAAAATGTCTATGTATTTTGTTTATACAGCCAAGTCTGTTTGTCTGTATCATATCTTTCCCACACTGAGGTTGCATAAATTCTGTCACATTTTCTCCTGCTTTTTTGCATTTAAATGTTTGGCTTGTTTATTTATATATCTACACATAGGTATCTCTCTCTTTTCTTTGTCATTTAGAGAGAAAATCGTGCAATATCCCTATTGACTTCTCCAGCTGCTGGTATAAAAACAGTTGATCCTCTGCCTTTGCGGGAAGATTCTGAAGACAGTATCCCCAAATTTGCTGAGGCAACTCTTCCAGCTTCAAAAATTCCAGAACACCCAACAAATATCCCTGGACAGTCGCCTTCTCCACTGCATGTTCCATCCTACTGGCATCCCTCTCGTCGAATTCAGGGCTCTCTTAGAGATCCAGAGTTTCAGCACAATGGTAATTATTTTCGTTTTAATTTTTTGTCTTTTAAAATACAGTGTTATACGGATAGGTACAAAGGCCAAGAATGCACTTTATATTAATAAATCAGTTATTTCTTATTTTTGGTTAATGTATTAATGAGATTTCTTTAAATAGGAAAAGTCCCTCTTTAGGATACCCAGTTGTGCTGTACCTAAGTTCGCTTTTTGCTGTTATATATGTGTGAGATATCTCTCAAGTTCTTATCTATACACATAGAGGGAACCCACTAGATAGATGCCAGTAGCATATCTTCTTTGTATGTGACAACCAAAAACGTCTCCAGACACATTGCCAAATGTTGTCTGAGTGTAGAATTGACGGCCAGACATGATTTTCCTTTAGTTGTAGTAGACAATGCTCAGCTCTTCTAGCTTCCACTGTTAATGTTACGAAGTCAAATGCTACTTTTATTCTGGATCTTTTATATGTGGTGTTTTCTTTCTGGCAGCTTTTAGGATCTTCTCTTCATATCTAATATTCTGAAATTTTATGATGTGCCTCTGAGTGGGTATTTTTTTATTCATTTTGCTGGTACTCCATAGACCTTTCAATCTGGAAAATTCTCACTTCTGGAACATTTTCTTGAATTATTCAGTCAAAAATTCCCTCTCCTGGCTGGGCACAGAGGTTCAAGCCTGTAATCCCAGCACTTTGGGAGGCTGAGGCAGGCGGATCACTTGAGGCCAGGAGTTTGAGACCAGCCTGGGCCACAGGATGAAACCCTGTCTCTACTACAAAAAAAATTAGCCTGGTGTGATTGCACATGCCTTTAATTCCAGCTACTTGGGAGGCTGAGGCATGAGAATTGCTTGAGCCTGGGAGGCAAGAAATAAAAATTAAAAAGTTTTTCCTTTCTCTGTTTCCTGTTTCCAGGATTCCTATTAATTCAGATGTTGGACATGATTTTATGTTTTATCTTACCTCTCCTATTTTTCATCTCTGTCTTTTAATTTGAAAAGTTACTAATTTTATCTTCTGTCTTTTCTGTTTTTAAAATTTTTTATTTCAATAGCTTTGGGATACAGGTGGTTTTTGTTACATGGATATATTCTGTAGTGGTGAATTCTGCATTTTAATGCACCTGTGGTCTGTTTTAGAAAATGTTCCCATGTGAAATGATGAGAAGAATGTATATTCTGCAGTTGTTGGGTAGAATGTTTTGTAAATATCTGTTAAGTCTATTTGTTTTAGAGTATTTTTTAAGTCCATTGTTTCTTTGTTGGCTTTCTGTCTCAATGATCTATCTGGTGCTGTGAGTGGAGTATTGAAGTCCCCCACTATTATTATGTTGCTGTCTACCTCATTTCTTAGGTCTAATAGTAAGTGTTTTATGAATCTGGGAACTCCAGTGTTAGGTGAGTATAAATTTAGGACTGACTGCAGTATCTTTTTGTTGGATTGAGCTTTTTATTTTATATAATGACATTTGTCTTTTTTAAAATTGTTGTTACTTTAAAGTCTGTTTTGCCTGATAAAAGACTCCAGCTTGCTTTTGGTTTCCATTTTCATGGAATATCTTTTCCTATTCATTTACCATGAGTTTATATGAATCTTTATGTGTTAGATATTTGGTTTATGGTTTTTAATCCATTCTGCCATTCCGTATCTTTAAGTGGAGCATTTAGGCCATTTACATTCAGTGTTAATATTGAGATGTGATGTACTGTTCTATTCATTATGTTAGCAGTTATTTACTTTGTTTTCTCTGTTGTGTTATTGTTTTATAGGCCCTGTGAGTTTTAAGCTTTTAGGAGTTCTGTTTTGTTGCATATCAAGCTTTTGTTTCAGAATTTAGAACTCTTAGCATTTCTTATAGTGCTGGTCTGGTAGTGACAAATTCCCTTAGCATTTGTTTGTCTGAAAAAGACTTTATTTGTCCTTCATTTATGAAACTTAGTTTTGCTAAACTAACAGAATTCCTGGCTGACAGGTATTCTGTTTAAGGAAGCTAAAGATAGGACCCCAATCCCTTCTGCCTTGTAAGGTTTCTGCTGAGAAAGATATCTGTTGTTAATCTGATAGTTTTTCTTTTATAAGTTACCTGGTGCTTTTTTAAGTTACCTGATGCTTTTTTTTTTTCTGACAGAATTCTTTCCTTCATATTGACTTACCTGACTATATGCGTTTGATCTTTTTGCAATGAAGTTCCTAAGAGTTCATTGAGCTTCTTGTATTTGAATATTTGAATCTCTGGCAAGGCCAGGGAAGTTTTCCTCAATTATTCTCTCAAACAAGTTTTCCAAACTTCTAGCCTTTTCTTCTCCCTCAGTATCACCATTTATTTTTAGGTTTGGTTGTTTACATAATCTCATATTTCTTTAAGACTTTGTTCATTTCTTTCTATTTTTTTTTCTTATTTTTGTTTGGGTTAATTCAAAAGCCTTGTCTTTGAGCTCTGAAATTCTTTTTTCTGCTTTATATTCCCCTCATACCTGGCATGCAGCTATCTTCTTATTCTAGTCTATTTTTGAAACTTTGCACGGCATTTTGTATTTCTCTGTATTTTTTATTTCTAGAAGTTCTGATTGGGTTTTTATTATCATACCACTTCTTTGCAAAATTTTTCATTTATATCCTGAAATTAAAAAAAAAATGTTGGTTTTCACTTTTCTCTGGTAGCTTCTTGAGTAGCTTAATAATCAACCTTCTGAATTCATTGTCTGGTATTTCAAAGATTTCATCTTGGTTTGCATCCATTACTGGGGAGCAAGTGTGATCTTTTGGGGATGTTATAGAACCGTGTTTTGTTGTATTGCCAAAATTACTTTTCTGGTTCCTTCTTTTTTTGGGTATACTATTCTAATTGTTTTTGAATTTATTTTTGATTTGACTGTGTGGTTTTTGGTGGCTTTTTTTTTTCCCCCTCTTAAGAATTTGACTTCAGTGATTATAATTTGTTATAGTTTAATTTGGTTCTTGGTGCTTTTAGGGTGAAGAGTCTCTATAAGTTCTTTGGTTATAGAGAGACTTTGTAGGATGGCTTTCTCAGATGCTAGTTATCGTAGCTGTTGTACTCAGTGTGTGGGCAAGTTCACTGTCTCCTGTGGGATTGGAATGGCAGAGGTCTCTTGAAGCTTATCTCATTCCCCTGTGGTATGTACTTTTTTATTTATCTAATTTTTTTCCAGTATTTTGTTTACTGAGTTGATAGTTCAGGCTTCAGGCCAGTAGGAAAGGTATCCCTGGGTAGGAAATTACTGTAGCAAACAAAGGCAGGTGGGTGAATGCAATACACACTGGTGGGCAGAGGTGACAGCCTTGGTGAACATGGGTAGGGGAGCTCTCAGTTAGATGCAATGGGGTCTTATCAGGGTGAAGGGTGGGAGCCACCTCAGCTCCCCTGACAAGCTAGCAGGAAAGCTATCCACCTCCCAGCCTCTCCTGTCTCAGTGGCCCAGCTATTCAGCTCAGACAGGCACCTCTTTGTCTGTAGGAATGTTGATGTTCCAAGTAGATAGGAATTGTGACTCTGCCTCTCATGCAAGCCTGTACCTAGGGAGTGCTCCTCCTGTGGGGAAGCAGTTACCCTGAAGTGTTCCAGGAAGGTTGTCTGTAGGCACATCCGCACTGAGTCCTGTGGGAGAAGCCCTAGCTGTGTCTGCAGTGGTGGGTAAGGGGAAGGAAGACTCCTTCTCCAAGACCCTTCGTGAGCACTAAGGCTGCCTGACTGTTGGGTAATGGGGTAGACTCCCTGCTAAGCCTAGCACTGCAATTGTGTCTCTGCTGACAGAAATTTCCCACCAGTGGAAAGATCTGGGGACTCCTGAGATTCCTTGGTTATAGATAAGCTTAGAGTGCTGGCTTTCTTGCATGTTGGTTATCATAGTAATGAACTTGTCCCGTAGACAGATTCAGGACCACTGGTTTGCTAGATGTTTGCAGGCAGTGGTGATAGCTGAGGTCACACACTGGTTTTCTCTATTCTGGGCACAGCATTATTCTACCTAAAGATAGTGTAATGGACTGTGTCAGTTGGGCTCTAATCAGGAGGTGCTGCTTGCAAAAGAGCACCAGCTGCAGTAGTAGCAGTGGTATTTGAGCTTGCCCTATGTTGCCCAGGGGAGATACTCTGGCTTTTCACACCATGGGAACAGTTATAAACCTCCCCAAAATTATGTCCTTTGTGTTAAGCTACCAGGGTGGGTGGAGGGGCACAGCCAAGCGGGGGCTGGGTCAGGTGGGTCCGCTCTTTGACTGTCTACATGCTGTTAGTTTTTTAAAAAGATTTTTCTCTTTCTGTTTTAAAGATCGCATATTCCTTTTATACAGCATCCCATTCTTATTTCATTAATGGTATGTTTTACCTCTTTGAAGAGGTAAATGATATATATAATGCCTCTGTTTTGAATATAGTACCCCTGCCCACAGTTGAACCTGGTATCCTTCAGTCACAGTAGCTCTGGTAAACTTTCAGAGACAAAACTTGCATACCTCTTTTGGGAAAGAGGGAATTGCCCAGCTGTGCAAATTTAAAGAAGGATCTGGCATACTATTTTTGTAAAAAGATTTTTAGCTAGCTTCCTAGTTCAGTCTTGCCCTCACTCCAACTTTCAGTGGTACTCAGTACTCCCAAATCCACAGCCATGAGGGGAACAAGTTGGTTGTTTCTTGATTTCACTCTTCTGCTGGCTTTAAAGTCAGCTTACTTGGGTATAATTATACACTCACTGCCCTTACATTTGATTTCTACTTTCCAAAAAGTTTCTTCCTGTCTTATTTGCTCCCATTCCCTTTGTTCTCTGAGTTTGTTGTTCTTGTAAATGTGTATATTTAATTTATCTTCTCTAATCAGAAGCCTACTACATTTCTTTAAAGTTAGATCAATGTCATCATTGGAAGGAATTTTAGGGCATCCGTAGTTTGTTTACATGCTTGCTAAGTGCATTATAAATTATGAATCGCCCTTTTATGGTATTCTATTAAGGTATAAAATTAATAATTTTTTTTAATTTTTTAAACCTTTACTCACATGTAGGTTTGATAATTAATAAAATTTCTGACAGTCTACTTTTGCTAACAATTTAGTATATAATTGAGACAAGCTGTTTGGTGGCATTTGAAAGATAATTTCTTCTGCCTTTTTTTTTTTAAGTGGGAAAAGCAAGGATGAACAATTTGCAGTTACCTCAGCAGGAAGCCTTTAATGATGAAGGTATTTCAGTATTCACATAACATAAAAGTTTGAGTTCTAGTCAATGATAGTTTATAATAGTATAATGGCTTTGCATTTGATTAGCACTTTATTAGATAGTTTATGAAGTACTTCCACAGTTTTTTTATTAGATCCTTGAAGCCCTGTGAGGGAGGTGAAATTACTCCCATTTACAAATGAATAAGCTGGGAGTAAAGTGGTTAAAAAAAAATTGTTTCTAGGGCAAACATATAATAAGAGATTGTGCCTAACATCACAGCCGATTCTCTTTTTCCACCTTGCCTTGCTGGGGGCTCAGGAATTTGACCTAGCATTATATCCATCTTTTAAAAAATGCCTATATATTTTTGTCAATTTTCAGTGCTCAAAAAAATATATGATTAGCGAAAATTGATATTTTTCTTTTTTTTTTTTTAGTTTTTATTCTGATATTTATTTGCTTGTAAATAGTGGCAGGAGGAACTTGAATTCAATATGAATAATTGAATCACTATTTTAATTCATCCTAAGAAGTATACAATTACTGAATTTATAAATTTTGAATTGGAAGTAAATTTAAATTTCATACTTTATATCATACATTAAAGACTTTCTCTCCCTTTAGCAGGTTTAGGACTTTTTGTTATAATTCATTGAGCTAGAAATTAAGTTGTATGTTTTGAAATGCAAATGTCTGGCAACTTTGAATCCAGTCCTGTTTTCTTTCTAATAGAGGAATAATAGTTTCTTTAAATAACCTTATAATAGACTAGCTTACCCAGAATGAGGAATTTCAGTACTAATGAAGGTTAGCATATTAAAGTCAAACATTATTTCTACATTTAGTGAGATTAGTTTAGAAATGTAATGTAAATAGCATATTAAGGCACAGCATTTTGTTTTGAAAAAATTTAGAAAACCTTTTTGCTCAGAATAGCTGAGCTTTTTAAAGTAGGATAAGACAGTATTATGATGAATTATTTTCAACTAATACTGAAATCATAGGCCATGTGCTCAGTTAATGACATTAGGGGATTTCAGGAAGGAAAAAAATTTAATGTGAAATTTTAACATTAAAAGGTTGGATTTCTATGTGTAGTAAACCTGGAAGACTACTGTGAGCTATCATGAGACTGTTAGTATCTTACATTTCAATAGGTTACTTTTTTCTTGACAACTTGACATTGATACACAGTTTGATGCTTTTAATTTTCTGTTACGTAAAACATAATATTTATTTAATAGATATTTTTTGCTCTGAATATAATCTCGGGATCCCTTCATTGCAGATGAGGACAGATTGTCTCAGATTTCTGCTCGCTCTGCAGCTTCTAGTCTTCGGGCATTTCAAACTCTGGCTCGAGCTAAGAAACGGAAGGAGAATTTCTGGGGTAAAACATAAACCTAGTTGATTTGCCTTTAAGGAACCACTGGCATAATTTTTCTTTATTGCTGATTGTGTTAAAACTTTTTGAGTGTTTGAATTTTTTCCCAACATTTCCTACTTTGAAATATTTAATTTCCAATAGAACAGTTTACTTGGAGATTTTTAACATAGGCTTATAAAGATTAATTTTTAAAGAATTTCTTTTACATCTGTCTATCCCAGAGTACAAACACATAGATGATTGATTTTTTTCACATGTTGTAACTTTTATAATAGGTGTCATGGATAAAATTTCACCTATCCAGAGAATATTTCTAAAAAGATAAACACAGTGAAGTAAAAGTTGAGATCCCAGTGTGAAGTATATTTTCACCTATGGTTGGATATATATATATGTATCTTTATAATTGATGATGTCATAAAATGAATTTGTTGTTTCTTTAACCTTTGCTGTAGTGTTTCTTTTTATTTTAGTTCCTTCTATACGTGTTTGCAGTGTTAATTGTACTTTGAAAATACCAACTGTATATATTTTTCTTATTTATGTAACAAAGTTTGCTGAAAGATATGTATATTTTTGATCTTTGAGTGTATTCTATTTGTATGAGGACTTTGGCTTACATTTGAATAATGTCTAGATTTTGAAAAATTACTTGTATAATGGAGAATTAAAATTTTGTAGACATTTTGAAATAAAAATTGATCAAGTGTGTTTGGCTTCTCCAGAAAGTTATTACATGGAACAAATAATTCTTTTAGAAGAATTTTACTCGTAACAGGTTAATGAAAAGTTATACTTGTTTTGCAGCTATCAGAATGAAATGGAGCCAAGTCTGTGATATTTTTGCACAAATGTAGGACAAATAATTTCCAAGGCAGACTCATTTACAAAAATTTAAAACATTTTTTACTGTATTTCTTCACTCACAGGACATATTCTGTTGTCTTACTGCTTATCATGCAAATCATGATAAATTTAAGTTTCTAAAAAATATGGATGTTACAACTATTTTGTATAAAATCTTTAAAGTAACACATAGAAAGTCCTAAAGTGAAAATGCAGAATATTCATGCTTGGTGGTTGGAAAACAAGTGAACAATCTGTTCTAAACTGATAATTTGGTCAAAAGTACATTTGCAAATAATTGGTTCACAGTAAGTTTGTTAAAGATCTTACATTATCATGAGATGGTAAAGAAGTGTAGGCATGCAAATACTTGCCTATCTTCCACTGACCTTTAAACTGGTTTGTTCATTAAAAGTTGCTAAGGCATTAAATATGAAAGTAAAAGTTTGAAATTGGAGTATAACTGGAATTTAGAACACAAATTGGCTTCTATACATACCTGCACTGAGGCATATTAATTGCAAAATATGTTTGAACTTTTCTCTCTGGACATATAGATATATAGTTATTCTCTTCCTCAAAGGTTGGTTTGGACAGAGTTTTCAATGGGTTGACCATTGATGTAGTAAAGAAAGGAATTATAGCTAGCTTGCAGGGAATTTTGCATAACTCACAATCTATTTTATCTAAGCTATAGATGTAAAATCTAGGTACACCCATTGGAGTGAATCACACCACATAACTTGATCTATCAGGTGTTAGATGGATTAGGATATGGTTCTTATGGGGACAAGGTCATGACCCCAGTCTCTATGGAACAATTTAGCTCTTCATTTATTATTGACTCCTTCTCTTAAAAACCTTACTCACTGGCCCTGGAGAGAGAATAATGTTGAGGGTCCAGTACTGTTTTATCGCTCATACTAAGGGCAACTCAGATGACATGCATTTAAGTTGGTGAGTAAGTAGTCTTAGTTACATGATAACTGCCCCTTGAGATTTGCTAGTATTCAGGAGCTGGGATTGCAAATTCAATTTTTTATTTGTTTTATTAAAGCATACTTTTCTGTACAATAAACTCAATTGTTAAAAAAAATTACAGCTCAATGAATTTGAACAGATGTACATATCTGTGAAACTAACATCACAATCATGATACATTATGTTCCATCACCCTAAAAGTTTCTTCATGTTCTTTTGCAGTCAGTCTGTCCTTCCACCCCGGTCCCCAAGACAACCAGTAATCTGCTTTCTGTCGGTATAAATTAGTTTACAGGAATTTTATATAAATGGAGCCATCCTTTATGCTTGGCTTTTACTCAGCATTATACTTTTTAAGAGTCATCCATGTTTTGGTGCACATGTTCCCTTTTAATTTATTCACTTGCTGGTGGACTTTGGGGTTGTTTTCAGTTAGGGATTATTATGAAAAAAATTGCTATCAGTATTTGTGTGCAAGTCTTTGTATAGATATATGCTTTCATTTCTCTGCAGAATATCCAGGTAATTCAATTTTTATTCACCTTGAATATAACTTCTGCTTTGAATATTCGGTATATACCCAAATAAATATTATAAACTGGTAGCTTAGTCTTTTTGTCTAAATTAATATCTGACAAGCCACACAGGGAGCCAACGGCAGAATTGCAAGGAGAGGTTTTTCTAAAATGCATACGCCTACCTGCTCTTTCCCCTGCCCGCTTTCCCATCTTCACCCCAGCTGTTGAGATTCTCAGTGTGTCTGTGTTTGATAGCCCTTAAAAAATGCACCAGAACACATACATGGGAGCTTTTGCATATTAATTTCTGGTCTCATCTCTGGATCCCATGGAATTCTGAACTCCCAGGTTAACCCTTGAAAGATGGTTTTGAGGATTAAGGATAAATAACATGATAAATATGCTTGGTACATAGGAGGAAGTGTTACCATGAGATTTAAGCATAAATATCCTCATTTTACAGGTGGGAAGACAGAAAAAATAACTGGCCCAAGATCTCAAAGCTGGTGAATTAAATCTAGGTCTCCTTACTCGAAATCCACCCACGTTAACTCCTTTGAAGTGTGTATGCTAAAATTGCAAGTCCCACAGTGATTCAATTCTCTCTCTCGTTGATTCATTTGGGAGTTAATTTTTCGCTTTGCCTTCTTGAAAGATAAATGTCTACCTTTTCTAGTCAGGGAAAAAGAGTATGTGTGCATTGAATTATTGTACAAATTGATTCAACCAGAATGAAAGCAAATTAATATTCAAAACGAGCTTGATCTTATGCAGAACAGTGTTGAGATTGGCAAATTTGGGAGCTCGAGGATGGATTATATATTTTTGTTCTAATTGTGTGTGAACATATTAGACATCCACAAAATATCCTAACTTCTAGAAGTTTACCAAAGGAACAAATAATGTAAAATGGCACATGATCCTAGAATTATTTCTATTTGGTTTTGGAATGTGTTTTTGGTACTTTTACATCTGATGGTGGTAGTCATGTTATTGTGCTCAGAGCCATCTGTCAAACCACCAGCACTGTTTCCCAAGGTGGGATTCTGCTGACACACTACTCCAGGCCAAACACCAGTCTGTGTCATTGGACTAGCTCGAGTTGTGCACCAATGGGTCTGGTCACATGGGGTCTCTGAGAAGCCAACCTGCCCAATAAGCTTAACTCAACTAAAAGGCTACTGATCTCTTAGCTCCATGCTGATCAGCTTTCTTGCCAATGTTGACCCCGCAATCTAACCATACGTGCCTTTCTCCCATGGCAAGTGGAGGAACAGAAAGACCCAGCCCTTTGCTCTCAGGCTTAGGGCTAAGCTTCTTTAAATCCTATGACATGTTTCATTCCCACCCTGATGCCCTCACACAGGAGGCCGCTCCCCATGCTGCTACCCCAGCCATGTGGCAGGTAAGAGCAAAGGAGCAGTCATCTTAAAGATGGCATCCATGTCTCTTCTACAAAGTGCTCTGCCCACTAGTCTCCAACCGTGGTTTCATTCTGCCCTAGATCCATATAAAGCATATGTGGAAATTGAGAAATGAGGACTCGGGGGACACTGAGCCACCTTTGAAAATCATAGCACGAGACCAACAGGTAGGGTAATGTTTGGGGAATTTACACCAGTTCAAACCAGATAATGGACAATTCAGATAATTCTGGGAAATTGTTCAGTTTCTCCCCTATTCAGTCTACATGCCAGTAATATGTTGGAGCTGACTCATGGGCCAATCATTAGATACTCAAGAATGTTGTGAGCAAGTTGTGAAAGTTATCAGTAGTTTGAAATTGGCCGTAGTCGGAGTACTTACACCACTGAAATCAGCAGATGCCATAAACCAGGGCTTCTCCCATTTACTGGGAGGCGGTTTACAAGCCCATCACTGTAACTACTACCTCGGTCTCTCTTATTCTTTCCATATCACTTTCCTCACAGAGAAAATAATTACTTCAGAAAGCCAGCTCAAGATAAGCTGCTGTAATATTTATTATACCACTTAATGCATTCCTTGGTTTATAAAAGTAGTTTGGTTTAGTTTCTTTTCTTGGCTGAAGTCCACCTAGAAAATAAAAACAAACCATAAATACGAATAGACTTACAGGAGACTATGCAGAGATGGCCTAGAAATCTACATGTATAATTTTCTAGATGATTCTGATACTCAGGTAATTTGGGAACAACTGGCTTTGGGGTTATGGTAGCCTGTGTTCTAATCATAACTCCACCTTGAGCAAGCCAATTGAACTTCTTTGAGCTCGTATTCCTCATCTTGCAGATGAAGATAACTCGCCAATTTAATTTTAAGATTAAATGGTGTAAGGTCTGTAAAGTCTTTGTATATACTTTTTAAATGTTACTCACTTCAAAAATGTTTAGTTTTATTATGTTGGCAAATTTTCATTGGAACAAGAAAAGAAAACCTTGTTTTAGAGAGGCTAAGGTTAAATCCAACAAGCAGGTGACAGGGTACCCTGAAATCGTGGCTTCTCATCACAGACCTATCAGTTGTGACCTACATTCAGCTTACCCAGAGGCAGTTTCACGTAGGGGTGCTGAAATGATTTGTCTATTTCCGTTATGTGGTAAAGCAAAAAAGACTGACTACAGTGTTGTGACTCAGCGACTCTAGAAGGTGGAACTAATTACCTGATATATGCAAACTATATTAGCGTAACTATGAATTGGAGATGTTATCAGGTTTGAGTCAGGAAATGCAGCGATAAAGTACCCACGATAATTACTGATGAAAGGAAAGATAGTCAAGCTTGGTCCCTGAATGAATGTGTACCCAATATCAAAGATTTCCTATGTTTGCTGCAAGTTTTTGTTTTAATAAGATAAATTAAATAAAACTCAGTTTTGTAATTGTAAGAAGAAAATATAAACTAACCTAAATGCCACACATTATGGGAAGATGTAGGCGCTTTACACTCATAACTTCAATTATAGTCAGAGTTTGGGCATCTCAGAAAAATTTTGCCTACAATGAGTACCTTAGCATTCAATGTTCCTGTCAAAAAATTATTCATGTCAAAACAGTTAAGGTTCTGGGGAAAACAAAAGAAAATTGAAAATAGGTTGCATGACAATACTAAATTTTGGTTCCATAAGGAACAAGTAATATTATAAAGTTTAACTTGCAATTTTACAAAGACGAAACATCTGAAGTGCTTTATTAATTTGGAAACACATACTTGGCACTAACAAATACCTTAGCATGATCATTTAAATCAATTACTGGCTGGGCCTGGTGGCTCATGCTTGTAATCCCAGCCCTTTGGGAGGCCAAGGCAGGCAGATCACGAGGTCAGGAGTTCTAGATCAGCCTGGCCAACGTGGTGAAACCCCGTCCTTACTAAAAATATAAA